GGGAAGGGGTCTCGCCTGTGACAACGCGGCTTCGCCAACGCGTGGACGAGCAGCGGGGGCGCTCTTCTGTGACACCGCAGGAGGGGGGACAGGTGGTGAGGTCGCCGCAGCCACACCCCCGGCGGTATCCTTCGAACGGCTCGCCCATCCTAATGAGCTCGTTGCGGACCTCGACGCAGCCCTGAATGATCCAGATCGGATCCAGGCACCCCACCTCTACGTCGGGCTGCTCTTCCACGGTGGTCAGGGGCGGATGCAGAGTAATCTTTCCCTCTCGGTGAACTCCCGCACGAGGGCCTCGATCCTGCCGACGGCGGAGCAGCTGGAGATCGGGGATAAGCAGTCTAATCCTTCTCCGTGGCGGGTGCACGAGTTTGTACGGGATGTCGTTCTTCGCTGGAAGGATAAAGCGTACGTGATGGATGCGTCATCGATCGGCTTCGATTTTATTCTTTGCGTGCTGCGCGAGCTGGTTGGGGTGGAGCTGATCACCTTTAACGCCCCTGCGTTGCTCTTGCCGCTGCTATCGTATAGCCAAGGGACCTTGTCAACCAAATGTGTGAGCGACGTGCGCGTTATGGCGTGGATGATATCGCTTTCAGACAGTAGCAATGAGCTCGCTCAAGATGGCGATGCTATTACGGATATTCGTGTTTTAGCTCAGAACTGCCGCTTTCGCTCCACCACCTCGCTGCCCTCTCTTTCTGCGCCCAACGAAGACCCGCTGCAGCGGCTGGTTAACGAGGTTTTTTTCCTAGCCCCGGTTTATCGCGCCCTGTACGGCCAATTGGGCTCACGAGGTCTTCTGCAGGCCTTTTTACGCCAAGAGAAGCGAATTTCAATTTTAATTGCAGGTATGAAGCTCAATGGGATGCGGGTTGACATGAAAAAGGTTCTTCAATTTAAACAAATGTGCTGTGCGAATATGAAAAAATGGAACCAACTGGCAACCGACATGGTGAAGTCACAAATGCCTGAGTTTAATATCCAGAGTCCCGATCAGTGCCGGCAGGCGATCTTTGAAATTTTGGATCTCGGAAAGTATCTTATTTCCCGTACAATAACACCTACATCAGACATGCAGGAGCAGGAACAGCAGAATCCCTTATCCTGCCTTGGCGTTTCGGCTCAACCAGCCTCCTCAGGTTTCGTCATCACCAAAGGCGGGAAGCTATCTACCAACGAGGAGACTTTGCGTATCTTGGCAGAGCACCACCAATTTCCACAGTTAATCATTAATTATCGTAAGGCGGCGAAAATTTTGCAAACCTATGTCGACGGCGTCCTGGCGTACTTGTACCCCTCTCAGTGTGCTGCTGACAAAGACATAGCTGAGCGACAGGTAGGTGCTAATCAGGGGGGTGAGAAAGAAGAAGAAGCAGAGGATATTTTCGTTGATAATGCGCTTACGAACGGTGCCGGCGAAGAAGAAGCGTTGCCGAACTCCCAAGTTCAGCAGGATACTTGCAGAGTGAGCGGTGGTCTCTCTTCGACGGGTAAAAAAATCACCTCGGCCCCATCGGAGGACTTTGACTACGGCGTGTTACACCCCAATTTCCTCCAGGAGGGCACCGATACCGGGAGGATGTCGTGTGTCGAGCCTAATTTACAAAACCTACCGCGTTCAGCCCTTCATATCGATCTCGATGAGGGAACCCTCCTAAATGGAGAACGAAGTATAAGTGAGCTAGAAACCGATTTAGAATTTCGCCGCTGCTTCGTAGCACCACCAGGGTGCGTGCTCCTCACGGCGGATTACGAGCAAATCGAGCTACGTGTTCTCGCACATCTCTGCGGCGACGAGGCTCTCATCGACGCCCTCACCGGCACGACGGATATCCACCAATCGATCGCGCGCGTGATTTTCCACAAAGGTGAAAAAAAAGACGTCGTAACGGCAGAGGAGCGCAACCTCGCGAAGCGTGTTGTGTTCGGTACGCTCTACGGCGCCGGGCCGCGCACGCTCGCCGCGCAGATGAACGTCGACGTGGAGCGCGCGCTGCAGATCGCGGGGCTGCTGCGCAGTTACTTTCCGACCCTCCACGAATATCAGCGGCGGGTGATCGATCAGGGCAGGGTAGATGGCTTCGTACGCACAATCAGCGGGCGGATTCGCGCGCTGCCGGAGCTAAACAGCACCGTGATCGGAAAGCGGGCCTACGCGGAACGGCAGGCCTTCAACACCGTCATCCAAGGCAGTGCGGCGGATATTATGAAGCTGTCGATGCTCGCCGTGGAGGAGGAGGTACTGCGGGGGTTCCCCGGGGAAGTGCGGCTTCTCAGCCAAATCCACGACGAGATGGTGTTCGCGGTGAAGTTGGAGAGGCTGCGGGAAGTGGTACCGCGTATTACACACGCGATGACGCATGCGATGTCGCTTCTCGTGCCGATTTGTGTGAATGTGAAGATCGGGCCCTCGCTGGGGGAGCTGAAGCCGTGGTCGATTGAACATGAGCTTGGAATTCAATAAGAAGCGGTGAAACGAATGAAAAAATGAGGGAGCGGGTAGGTGAACGGGTTTGCTATTATTTTTGAGTTGCACCTCTTCTCTATCCTCCTCTCTCTCAACCTTCTTTTTTAGGAAAAATATCTTAATTTTATCTGCTATATTTGTTATGGGCACTCTCCTAAAGTCACACCCTTTTCGGGGGGATCAAGCCCGCGTTACTCTCCTGAATTCTTGCAATAGCCCTCATGCTGTTTTGATAGGGAGAACCCGAGCACAGAGTTCGGTATCCAAACAACCGATTCAATAACTGAAAAAAGCGTATAAGGGGGGAGGAAACTCATTGGCTTTTTGTCTCACATTTATGATATTTGAGATTTTGTGTATCCCGTAATCCTTTCGACTTCGTTCCCTCTTTGAGTGAGCAATGAGAAATGCTAGCTTCCCCTCTTGTCTTGTATAGGTGACTACATACCTTAATACGCGTATGTATACTTGAAAGTACTCAAGCATTGCAGATGTTTAGATGGCTTCAAAATATAGTATGGGGTGTTGAAGAAGTAGAAGAATGTGATGATGAAATCGAGCTTGGACGCCTGACACGCCATGAGCTATCTAAGCTGGATCAAGATCTTCAAGCCAATATGAAGGAGATCTCTAATTGTCAATCCGAGCTTGCTTGCACGCGCACCAAGATTGGGCGCCTCCTGGAGGAAACTGAAGCCATTATCATGGAAAGCTACGATTTACCAACACAATATAGTGATGGTTCAGAAAAGCCCACAGAGAAAGTTGATGAGTGCAATGCAGTAGCATTCAGTCTTGAATGTTCACCGAATAATGAAACTTTAGAAAAGAAACGTTTTGAAATTCGCCAAGAGTCGAGTATCTTTATAGAAACACTCATGGAAGTTATGAACGGCTTGCTGAATCGCGTCTACATGCTGGAAGTGCAAGTGCGTTGTCAAAGAGTGGAACGCGACTTATTGCTCAACCACATTCTAAGAAATACCGCAGAGTTTGACCCCCTACCACCTGACGAGCAACCGCCGTCATCCGTCCAAATTGCTACGACGGAAACACAAAATGTCTCTGTGTAATGGAAAATAAAAGTTCAATAAAAAGGAGCCTCAATGTTTGAAACCGAAAGAATTTATTAACATATTTGAATGATTTCCCTTCTTTCTTTTTGCGGATCATTTTTCTTGACTTCTATTTGATACATAGCGAAGATACCCCGGGTCTATGCTTAGTGCTTTATGCTACTAATAATTTCATGATTAATATTCCTTTTTTACCCTCATATTTCCCCTAATTAGTCACTTTATGTGTTTTTGTAATAAACTGGCACTATAGTCCTTTCTCTTTGCACTCTCGACCTCTCATCCAACATTCTCAGTTGGAAACGATCTACACTCTTAGCTTAACTGCTTAGGAACAAGGAAATGGAACAAAATGAAGAATCAAAGATAATTAGACATTTTTAGGACTAAGTTCTCCCGTCATGTGAACTATGGGAATACATGGGATGTGGCATTAGAAAACTCCAGATCTAAGTGTTTCAAACAGTGTCCTCAACACACAGTTTTATACCTTACTTCTTTGTTTTTGAAGTTGCGTTCAATCAACCTTTGTTGAGAAGACCCTTGATATTAAAGGCGATACGAAATGCTTTTATGGTGATCAAAATCTCACTCTACATTGCTTATTTGACTTCAAAGCATGCACCGAATTCCTTAGATGAGTATTCTTCGCTATTATTTAACTCGTGATGCTAGGCAAACGTTTATATATAGGGTATTGGTCATGTAGAACTTACCTAGTACTTAAAGTAACTGAAAGATGCACCTGCAAAGAAAAAAAAGGAAGGTTGAGAGCGCTGAGCGGGCTTTCTTTACGGTTAGTGCCTTAATAATCGAAAGGCCACTCCAAAACTCGAATGATTATAAAAGAGAGGGTGCTTGTAGAATCAACAAGTTTCTCTCTTGGACTGATTATTATTGGGCACCGAGCGCTTTCAAAGCTTAAATGTGAGTTTATGCAAGAATAAAGCAGCTGAATAGATATGTCAAAGGTCCGATACCCTAATCTGGTATGGGATATAGTTTGCGATACCCATGAGAAATGCTATTAGCGAACGCGATTTTTGGTTCGGGAAAATGCGCTAATCAAATCACTAAATCTCAGGAAATATCGATCCTGAGAGTGAAACACCTCGTGTAGTCTTTACCGCACGTGGCTAGAACTTATAAGTTCACGACCCAGAGTTTCAATAATGCTGAGCTCGCGTAGTGGCTCTGGCAAATAGTGTTGGGAAATATTCCATAATGAGAATAGGATCTCCCCGAACGATTGCATCGAAGCGGAGAGGGAACCCGTGCAAACCTTGCTTCATGCGAACATGACGCAAACACGGGTCTTGAATTGTAGCTATAGGTTCGCTGAATATACTAACTATAAGGAAATGGTTATTCAACTTCGTATCTCTTTTCCTTTTCATTTTGATAGTATTTAAAAAAAAAGTGTTATCATCATCTCAACCCTTTAGTCTGTATGGATCATCATGAATGCGAACGACGCTCTCACACACCCGGTCCCACGACCCGACGCTAAGGTCGACCGCGTTGACCTTCCCGATCCTGACAGGGGCGACACGGCTCAGGACGACACGGACAAGGACGCCCACATCACCCGTCTCATCCTCGAGAAACACGCGTGTCACAGGACGATTGAGGAACTGCGGGACACCATCCACCGCTTACAAAGGGAGGTGGCCCAACTCCGACGCGAGGTCGGGGCCCTCCCGGAGCCCTTCTCGGCGGACACGGAAGGGGGACCGGCGGTGTCCGCCGATGGGGTGACCTACCGCAAGCGCGACGTGCGGCGGCTCACTGGCCTCAACACGGAGCTCGTGGAGGCGGTGGAAACGCTGCAGGCGGTCCTCACCCGGGAGCGGGCGGGGGCCGACGAGGAGCGGCACCGCCATCACGCGGTGGTCGCCGAGCTCGACGCCGCGCGCGCCGCCCTGGAGGCGGAGAACGACGCCCTTAAGGGGCGCCTCGCGGGGGATCTGCTCCGCCGGCGCGAGGCGAATCGGATGGAGGTGGCGGCGGAGAAGCTGCGGGGGGTCGCGCGGCTTCGCCTCGAGGGGCGGCGCCAGCTGGAGCGCATGGAGGCCGCCCTAATGGAGGCCCACGACGACCTCTACCACATCCAGCGCGGCGACGCGCTCTTCGCCCCGCAGCGGACGGTTTCCTTTGTTTTCCAGGGTGTTTCCATCGTGCGCGGGGACGGCGGCAGTGACGGCGTGGAGCTCGCGATGCGCGCGTGCGACGAGATGCTCGCGGCGGCCTGTGCGAAATACCACGGCTACCGCGCCTGCGTGCTTTTTGACGTCGGCGTGTTCGCCTTTCAGAGCCCGCGCAGTGCGCTGGAGTTCGCGCGGGAGTGCCACGAGCAGGCGTTGGGGCTACCGTGGCCGGCGCTGGTGGAAAAGGTCGCGTGCTTCGCGAGCGTCTCCGACTTCGGCAGCGTGCTCTTCCGCGGGCCGCGGCTCCACACCTGCATCTTCGCCTGCACGCCGGAGGTGGAGGTGGATCCGATCACCGGTCGCACCGCGTTCTTCGGCGCCGCGCTCGAGGAGGGGCTCCAAGCCGCGCTTGAGCTCTCGTCGGTTGGTGAAATCGTCGTGAACGACACCTGGGCAGATCTCCTCGCGCGCGAGGCGTGTCTGCATGGCGATGGCGCCCCTGCGAACCCGCCGAAGACGTTGAACCAGCCCGAACCTGGAGATGGCACCGCCGTCCTGAGGGATCTCGTGATGGGGGTTCGAAACACTCTTGGAAAGACGTGGGATGTCGTAACGCTCTCAGGCAGACACAATATCATCTGCTCGATTCTGCCAAAGTCTTTACAGGGAAGGCGCGATCTTGGGTTGTGCGCCTTATGGCCGACGCCGACGTTTCCTGAAATAGGCGGAGCAGACCATCCCACCGTCGTAAAGGCTCTTATGCAGGCAATGAAAGATACGCGACCATCTGCGAGCGCAGCTAAAAGCTTTCGTGATCGCATTAACGCAGGGTATCGAAAAGATTTGCCGCGCATGGAGGTTGCGTATACCGGGATCAAGGAGTCGATAGAAGAGACTTTTGCGCAAGAGGATGCGGATTCCTTCCATGGCGAGGAGCCCGCTGTGAATGCGGCCGCACAGCTCATGGAGCTTCACGTACTTCAGCTAGATAAGGATCGGCTCCTTTCCGGCGTTCGACAACTTGGGGAGATCTGTGCTGCTTTGGAGCGAAAGGCGATGGAGGCTGAGGACCACTTTGTATTGCTTAAGGATAATGTACTGGAAGTGTCGAAGATCGCATACATATGCATCGTTGATATCGGCGACGATAAGGTGTGGAAGCACGCCTGCACCAGAAGCCCTTCCGAGCGGGAGTATGAGCAGCTGCGGCGAACCCTTCAATCGTTCGTTCACGATGCCGCCAAAAAGCATCATGGCTTCTTCCTGAAGGGCAACGATGCGGATGTGTTTGCGTATATGTATGCTCAAGTAGAAGACGCGCTCGCGTTTGCGATACAGGTGTACGTCATGGTGAACCAGGCCGGAAATAATCTCTCCAACGTCGAAAACGGGAACGGAGAGGATTCTTTTCTCTTCCGCGGAGCGATCTCCAGCGTTCCCATGCGCACGTTCCTTCGAAATTACCACGAAGGTGTGTTCAAGTGCACAAATTCGTTCATCCGCCTCTCCGCCGCGCTTTGCAGCGTGGCTCGCTGGGGTGAGGTGTTAGCGACGGAGGACGTCATTCAAACTTTCTACACCAAGCAAGAAAACGTCGTGGATACCCAGTACAACATTGTCAAGCAGTACTGTCGATTTCTGAAGGGGTGGGGGATCCCGGTTTCCGCCTTTTCGATCCTCCCGAGATCCTTCGCATACCGCCGACAGGTTTTGTTAGATAAGACGCAGAGCATCGCACCCTATCAAGGGGCTCGTTCAATCGAGGCGGTGCTGATATCCGATACCGAGGAGATATCGCGCGCGGCGGTGGAATCCGTCTTGCAGCAGCAGTTGGAGCAGTTAGAGCGCGGCGAGGCCGTGCGGCTTGCCGAAGAAGACGCCTTTGAAAAGACCCCTCAGGCCGCGGAATGGGTGCTGTGCAATCCGTGGATGGTAACCACACGCACGCAACACCACCAATCGCATTTGAACTACAAAGAAAGGTCTAAAAAGAACGGTCGGAAGGAAAATAGCCTCTCGAACAGCCTCAACTGGGGAAGCTTTGCGAGGTATGGGCATCGATTCAGCGGGGCGCCCGGTATTTCCCGTGAGCCGTTTGCCTTTCTCTACTGTAACATCGCTCGAGCGGCGACGATCGTGCGTGATTTATCGCCCTCGCTCACGAAGGAGGTGTTTGCGCACTACAACTACATCGTCCAGGCGATCTTCGCGCAGTGTGGGGGGTTTGTGGCGAAAACCGACAGCGTGGCGGGCTATTTGGTCGTGTTTGAGCGGCCCTTCTCCGCACTGGAGGCGGCGTTTCGGATTCAAAAACGACTGTTAGCCTCCCAGTGGCCAGAGGAGCTTCGGACGCTGCCGAGCACGCTTTTCTCGCGCGATGCGGCGACAGGAACGGTGCTGTTTAACGGCCCTCGCGTGCAGGTGGGGTTGCATTTCTCACCGGAATACGCGTGGCGGGCGCTTCCGCACAACCACGCCGGCGAGGAGACCTCGGGGAGGCGTCAGACGGAGCTCAGGGTGTCGATTAAAAAAAGCGAGGAGGCCGCCTTCCCCGGGGTGCTGGAGGAGCTTCCATTTGCGCTGAACGGGGGGCCTCTCGCGGCGTCGCTCAGCGTGATTGACGTGAAAGGCGCGGCGTTGGAGGAGCTGTGCGGGATCGGCCACCTCGCGTACGGCGGGGAGGTTCGAATGAGCCTGCCTTTTCGAACCGCCCTCGCGGAGGAGGTGAGCGGGCGGCTCCTGCTCGATCAGTTTCGCCTGGAAATCATCGTGGATGCCGCGCAGGGCGGGGGGATCCCCTTCGAGAAGGAGGGTGGGCCTGGGAAAGAGGTGGAAAAGGCCCCCCACGCGAGGGCGAAGCCCATGAATTCGGACGAGCTGCCTCGCGGGCGAGGGGGGGATCGCGTTTCCCCCGGCGCTCCCCCGGCGGCGGTCGTTTTATCGGCCGTTCCCGCCCTCCTCGAGGGTCGTCGGCGGTACTTCGCGCCGTCGGATGAGCGGGTCTCCCTCTCGAGCAGCGTCCTGAGTGGGGAGACGACCCATACTGGGGGGGTTCCGGGAAGAAAAGGCGGCCCGTTAAGCGCCATCGGCGGGGGGGGAGGAGGAAAGGGAAGCCCTTTGGAAGGGTCGTTTCCGTTGCTGAAACGACCGGAAAACGGTGCGCTCGCGGGGAGTCGCCGGCCGAAAGGGCCGCTTCCCTTGCCGGCGGAGTGGGGGGTGGCGGTGCGGAGCCTCCCGCGGGCGGCGCGCGTCAGGTGGGGGGTGGGGAGCTCCGAAAGTTCCTCCCCCCCGCCGCCTTCCGAGATGGAGCAAATCCTTCACGCGATGGAGCAGTTGCTCGCGCTGTTCGAGCGGGCGACCGGGGAGGAAAACGCGCTGCAAACCCGCCCTGCCGTTAGTCCCGCCACCTCCCGCCATCCTTCCCAAACCAGCGAAGGGGAATATTCGTACTACCGGGTGTTTATGTATCACGCGACGCAGTTTCTTCAATTTCTCTACGCGGCAATCCGAATCGGGGGTGAAGGGATACGGCTGCCGTCGCCTTCCTCGGGGAAGGAGAACGGGATCTCGCCGTTGCTCTTTGCCGACGCGTCGGAAACGCCCTTTGGCGGCTCGCTGCGCGTGCAGAGTGGGAGAAAAAATCCCCTCTGCACGCGCGATCGCGGACGTGTTTTATCGCACCCCGCGGTGGTGCTCCCTCGCCTCGGAAGCCGCGCCACGGCGACCTCGCAAAAAATGAAAAACGGCTGCTTAGCCAATTCAAGAGGAGGGCGGATGAACTTCCCCTCGTTAGTCCCGATCTCGAGTGCGCGATCGCGCTCCCCGTCGCCCTCGTCTAAATCGCAAAATACGGGTCGTGCGAAAGGGGGTAAAATGGAGCCGTACCGCGAGGCGGTGGAGTACCTCGAGGAGGCCTGTCGATGCCTCAAAATCAGCATCGGAACCGCGCTGGGGCGGTTTCCCATCCGAGCCTCTGCTCCGTCGCCAAGGAGTAAACATTTGGAGAGTCGGATGTCAGGTAAAATGATGTAGAAATTCGAGCCCATGTGCATATATATATAATAGAAAATGTGTTGGGAAACCACCAAAAGGCGTAAACCGTCTTGGGGTTAGCGTATGTGGACTCCTATGAAACTTTTGATGAGTTTTATGGAGTCTATTGCTCAAATTACCTCACAACATAAGGTCTACCGCTCTGGAGCTTTAAAAATTTATGTTGCATCAATGTATACTATCTTTTTTTTTTGCTCTCAGGATTATTCACAAGCAAGATTACGTAAGTGAGCCAGGGCAATTACCGTAAGGGTTCATTATTTAATATTATTGGTGGTGTAATTGTGGCTCTCATATCCCTACCTTCGATGCCCATCCAGTGTAAATGTCTTTTTTTAAATTCTACATGTGTGCATACGTATGTATATATATTGATATGTGTGTAGCTACTTTTCCAATCAATTTTCATACTCTGATTGCAGCAATGCCTTTTCTTGGAATATAAAAGGTTACAGATTCAGTATACATATCAAGGTCAAATAGAATGCTACGTGTGGCTAAAATACGGAAAAGGGGCAAATCGCCGGACGAATTGCGTCATTTGCGAACCGCCAAAGATTCAGCTGATAGAAAATTCGTCAAAAGTGATAAGCGAAGTATAGCATCGAAAAAAAAGCTAAACCCACTACTTACGCTTCATCAGGGTGGTCTCTACAAGGCGGGAGGCGCGGCCTCGAGGCCTAAAGGGCGGAAACTATCCCACAAAGATCAGGCGAATAATGGATCCTTCCGAGTGGCGGACGCCAAGTCAATCGACTCGGCGTCTAAATCCTCAAGCTCACGCTCACGATCACGGCGAATTTCGATAGCCTCGGATAAGATTCAACCCCGCCGATCCCCCTCGATCGTTAAGCGGAAGACCTCCAGGTCGTCCTCGCGGAGGCGGCTGGACGCCTACCCCAATCCCCACCCGGTATTTCACCGCAGAACCCTAAGTAAAGACAAACGACACGACACCTCGCCGTCCTCGATCCCACTCGCGACGGATCTGAGCCCAAGCTCCAGCCGGACGTTGGAGGTGAACGAGGGGCCGGGTGAGCCCGCCCAACTCCCTGACGGCGCGCCGAGCACGGATGTTTCGGCTCCCCCCTCCTTCCTGCTTCCGCTGCCCTCGAATATCGAAAAAATTGGTGCGATGTTTAGTCAATACCGCCTGCCCACACGCACCGTGCACGATCTTCAGTTCGAGCTCGCGCGGATTCAAGAATCGTGCTCGAATGGTCTTGACAACGACAGCGAGCTTCGCCGAATGGCTCGCGAGGCCGGGGTTGAGCTCTCCGGGCCGTGGCTTACTGTCGTCAAAGACGACGGCGCGTCATCCGGTGTGGGGGGGGTTTCATTAGGGGATCTGAGCGCAAGTGATTTGATTTCTATTTTTTGTTATTGTGATACCCCTTCCTTGGTGGCGCTACGCCGCACCTGCAAACGATTTCGTATCCTCAGTGGGTGTCGTGAAGTGTGGCTCGCCCGTCCGGATGCTACCGAGGCTCACCCCAAATTGAACCCCCCGAAGGATCTGAAAAAAAAACCCGTGAATCATTGGACACAAATGCAGGAGGATGATGAAAACGAAATGGTGATCTGGCGGTCGATGTACAAAAATCTTGAGCAGCGCATGGAGGAACGCGTCGTGGCGGAGCACGCGCGTAAGCTACCTCTGAGTGCGGAAAACCTCTATTGGAAGCGCGATCCGGAACCCCCCATTCCCCACCGCAGCGAGGCATCGAAGAGGAAGTTTTTCGACCTCCCCTCGACTTCAAAGTCAAATTCTTTCGAACTCAAAAAGGGAGGGGGTGATGGGGAATCGACGACGCACGATTCGGATGCGCTTCAAGAGCTATGGGGGCAGCTCAAAGAGATCGAAACGCTACGCGATCAGCTACTGAAAGAAATTCAGCAAAACAACGAGCGGTTTCACGCGCAGCAGGAGGAGCTTCGGCAGTTTCACGATTACCTCGCCGCGGGCGGGGAGGGCGCTCGAGTTTGCTCTGATCCCTTTATCACGTTTGAGGATCTCGAGCGCTTTGAGCGGCGGATGGTCTCGTTGATTCTAAACGGCCGTGGTGGGGGGCCCGAGGCGGACTCGATCCCGCTCGTCCTCCGACGCGGAATCGACAGCTTCGGTGGGTTGGAATTGCTGCTTTCGAATCCGACGTTTTGGGAATCAGAGAACGGGGAGGCCGAGGCGGTGAACGCGAGCCCGCGGTGGTGCGCGTGGCGGGCGATTCAGAAGCGCTGGGCGGCCTTCAAGGCGTTCTTTCCGCTCAACGATAATGGCTACTACACCGCTCGGCGATGCCTGATGCAGTGCGCGATGGAAGGGCTGAACGAGGAGGCCGCGAGGGGGCTGAATAAGCGCCACGAGAAGGTGTTGCTGCGATTAACCGGCGTCCTCCGACGTGTGGAGAGCATGAAGGAAAGTGAGGTTTTGGATGTTATCATGTAAAGTATCTAGGGTGTTCCTTCAGGTGGGGAATGGATGTGTTTGCAAGGGGGGTTCCTTTTTTCCGATGTGTATAAAAGCAAGCGCTTGGGTAAGCTCAAAGGGCTTGGTTGCTTAGATTATAACGGATCGTGGAGAGGACATATGGAAATAGAAACCATATAAAAGGGTGAATGAAGAAATGCATATCTTTTCATAGCTTAAATTTCATCATGCTTTCCACTCTCTCCTCTTCCAGTACTTTCATTACTCTGCGGAGAAAATAGGGATCGATATTGTGCTACTGTTTAACGAGGAAAAATGCGCCGCGCGTGGTGGTGTAGCGCTCGATGCGCGATAAACGAGCGCTTGACGAGATCCATGGCGACGATTCCTTTGGGACCATCAAGCACCGAAAAGGGAGAAATCCAAGAGCGGGCAGCGCCCTACGACTACATGAAACTAGGATTCCCAAAGGATCTCGATTCGCAAGCGCATCAGGCGGCGCGAGAGGCCATCATTTCGGAAATCATCCTGCGTGATAAGGAAGTATTTAATCTCAAGCGTCAACACGAGCTAAGTATGCTACGCGTTGAGCAAAATCAGCGCCGCGTTCTAAAAGATCAGGAGGATCGCGGTCTCTATTATGAACAAAACTGCAATGTTCATACCTTTGAAACCGTATCTGGCGGGTTGCATTCTCAGCGCAACACCTTATATCACACGATGAGCGTGGAGCGGCTGCGTAATTTCAAGATGATGTTGATTGTGTTGGGTACCATCATCACATGTGTTTACCTTTACTTTCGCTATATTGTCAATCCCGAGTGGGAGTACGTTGAGAAGCCGGTTAGAGTGCTTGGTAGTCGCGTGCAAACGGTGCGTGAAATTCGTTGGAATCGCATGACGGACGAAGAAAAAATTCTGGAACTTGAACGAAGAAGGTTTTCGACGCGCGCAACAGAGGAAAAGTGACTTTTTACTTCTATCGGGGTGCGTGCGCGCGTAATCCAACGGATTTCTAGGCTTATTGGTATAACACATGTGCATCGCCTATGTTCTGGATATTTAAAAAATGTAGTGTTTGCAATTAGCCAAAACGTATGAGAATTAGCCTGGTATCTCACTTTTTTTTATTGGTCGGTTTCCCTTTTGGTACGCTCTTTTATGATTTTTTATTATCGTTTCTATTGACTCCAGTGCACCCCTAGTTCTTGCATTCATTCTTGTTTCGTGTTTTTTATAGTAAAATAAATACGGAATGTTTACTAGAAGCCGTTTTTCGGCTCGCATTTCGTCATTAAACCACAATCTATGCTTTTATCAACCTACGCTCATATGGAGCAAAGTGAATGCAACCACACAAACGCCTGCTAGCCGCCCGGTAAGCAAGTTCATGAGCTTACGACCTCAAGAGATAGGAGCTACTGCCGCCGCTGGAAGAAATCGCATGGGACGCGGCAAACCCCATGATTCACATCCGTCTAAGAATACCGCAAAGTGGTCTAGCAAAAAAAAGAAGTCATCCTCTTTCTTTCTGATGAAGCCGCCGATGCCCGAGGACTTTCCGTCAGCAACTTCTGCCGATTTTAATATCCCTGATCGAAATACCCAACGGCACCGGCATGGTTTTGGCGGTAATCCCCCGATGGAGGAGCCCTTCCCCACCTCAGACAGCTCCCCCGACCCCCGCCTTTCCAGTGATTCTACCATTGCTTTTGAGGATGTATCCCCACTTGAGATGGATGCCCACGCGGAACGTCGTGTGGAAGGTTTCCTTCGCGATGCCCGCCAACGTCACCGAAAGGAAGAAAGTGGAAAAGAAACCACGACGACTTCGACCACGCTCGCTTCCGATCCCAAAGGTGCCAACGAACGACCTCTGCTCCAACGCGTTCCGAAAAGTAACTTCAAGCGGTGTTTGTTGTCATTTCACATCGACGGTCGTCCGGTGCGGGCGATCGGACAATCCACACGCGATCGAACCGCCCGTGTGTTGTGCTTTATGCACGCGGAACGGCTCATCGATTATTACACCGTCAAACCAGATCCCACGTCCTCCCCGCCTCGGCCCCTACGGGAGGGAACTACGTTTGGCGAGGCCTCGCGTCGGGAAGGGCGATATCCCCTCCCCCCTTTACAGCCGCCTCGCAAGCCGAGCTCGCTCGAAGACTGGCCGCGCTACATCGTCGCGTGTAGGGGGTACATCGAACAAAAAACCGCCCGTGAACGGGAACAAACCCTCCTAGCGATGCACATCCCCCTTTCGATCAACGACCTCGTGAATCGCGCGACCGCGATGGTCGAGGCCGAGGACGAGGGGAAGGCGAATCCCATCGCCACCGCCCTCGCCCTGCAAAAGCTCAACCACGCCGTGCACAACGCCGGGGAGCTGATCCACACGACGCGGGTTGGGGGGTGCGTCGTCGCGACGTTGATTTTCGACGCCGCGGCGGGGCTCCTCGCGACGGGGGTGGGGCGCTCCGGGAAGGCGGCCCGGCGGCG